AAAAGAGAAGTGAGGTGGGATAAGGATCAGACAGCCCTCTCTTCCCCGGCCTTTCAGAAACAGGAAATATTTTTTAAGATGAAAACTGTGAAGTTTCCCACATGTTCCATACAGCAGTCTTCTTAAGGGTTAGGGGGGTGGGGGTTACATCCTTTTCTCTTTAAAATCCCCCAATACCGAGTTTGGCTGCCCCCAAGTAAGCGTTTCTCAAGCCCACACTGTACAGCCTGAGCAGAGAGCAGATCTTTCCCATCAGCTGAGACAGGCTGCTCCACTTCCGATCTTTGCAAACAAAAAGCCCTCCTTTGACAAAGGAACAAGTAAGGAAGCAAACATCCATATCACGGGACCAGACAACCAGCCCGGTCAGTTCACGCCAGTGTCATGAACACGGAGGGAGTGAGACCTAACGCCCACAGCAGTGCGTGGATCGCGGCAGGTACTGGTTCACTGAAACACACTCTCACACACAGAAAGCGCGTGTCAGCACACACCTCAGGAACCATGAGAAAACAGACTGTGGGCTGGCTGTGCGGCCGTCGTGAGGGTGACCGCGCATTTTCTCACACCTGTTTGGGGATGACACGATGCCACAACTTTCAGTGACTCAGAAAACACACCTTCACACAAAGCAGACTGAGATGCACAATGCTCATGCTCACTGGACTCTCGAGGGAGGGTAGGCGCGCTCATTGTCCTGTCCTGCAGGCTGACTGGTGGCACGCACGCACGAGGCAGTCCTCCTTCACTGACCCACAGCTCTGACCCCTCCCTGCTTTGCCCATTTTTCAGCAAAGACTTCCAAAGAGCGGTTGGCACCGTCTCCACTTCTCTCTTCCTGCTCTCTCCCCAGACTAACTCCGGCAGGGTCATGTTGACGCACCGCCCAGGGTCAATCAGCGCTCATCTCAGCAGGGGTTTCTGAGCAAGCAGTCCTTCGTGCTCAGACGTCTCCACCTGACTCACAGGCCATCCCTTTCCTGAGGCCTCTGCCCGTCTTCCCGCCCTCCTCCTCACTCAACTCCTCAACCTCACTGCCGCTGGGCCCTGCCTCCACGCCGTGCTTTCTCCAGCACCCTGCCATCCCACCAGGCGCACCTGGGTCAACACGGGGAGTTCCACGTGCCTCTCTCCCAGACTAGACTGCTCTCCTGAACCTCCAGCCTGTACCCTTACTGCCATGCCCGGCCTGCATACCCAACAGCGTCTCAACCTGAGGACTCCAAAACTCCAGGGACCTACCCTGCTGCATCTCATCACCTCCACATGCCCACCTGGATGGAGCTGGGGCGTACCATCACCACCCACGTGTGGATGGGCACAGCACCCTCCTATGTGAACAGCCCGCTCTTGCCTGTCAGTCAGTCACGCAGGAAGAGCTCCACATCTAGTTACGGATCCTTGCTCCCTCTCATGCCCAAGAAAAGGCCCCATTCACAGCCAGCAAGATGCCCCTAACACAGCTCTCCCCGCTCGTGCTCCCTCCCCGGTCCCAAACAGCACCTATTCCCTCGTTAAGCCCTCCCCATCCACCCAGACCTGTGAGACACCCAGTGCCTTCAGGTTCTGCTTCCATGTGAGCCACCGGTGGAGACCGAGTGCCCTTGAGAACCCAGACAGCAGTCACCACGACTGCCAGACACGCCGACAGCCTCCCCAGCCCTGCTGCTCTGCTCCAAGCAGGGAGGGGCTCTGCCACATAATCCTAGTGCATCTGCTGTTCTCACATCGTTCTCAATTTGCCAGATTAAGTTCAGCTCAACCCTCTGAAACTCTCCCACACATCTGAGAACGACCCCATTCCCTCTCTAAACTCCAACCAGAGGTGACACCATTGACTGGTCTCAGCCCAGAAGGTTCCCACGTGCACAGACGGCATCAGCTACGTGAAAGCAGAGGTTCTGACGTACTTACGTGGGCAATGTCCCCTTTTGTGCCTATGACCCGGTCCTGAGAGTGCTTACTGAACTCCACATAGTGGTCCTCCGTGAAGGAGTGCCTGCGGACAAGCAGCACAGACAGCACTGAGTCACCTTCCCCGACCACGCTCACCTGAAGACTGCAGCTCACGGAGAGGGGTTCAAGGTTCAGACGGAAACCCCCTCCCTGTCTGTCCAAGCAGACCCCTGAGAACTGACAGCAGTGGCTCCTGGGGCACAGCTGCCCTCACAATATGGCCTAGCAGAGGGTGAAGCTGTGGAGCATCACGAGAGAGCCCGGCCCTTTCACTCCAAAAGGATCCCTGGGCTTCCGAAAACGTGCGCAAAGATCATGGAAAATGTCCACACACTTCAGGAAGCCCCTTTACACACACTTGGTTAGAAGATTTAGAAATTAAGAAAAACAAAACTGTCTGGAGGGTGTTCCTGAGACAAAGGAGAAATGAGCAATCCTCACTTCCCAGAGGGCGTCAGTCTCAGGACGGGCCAGGGGTGGGCGGCAGACAGGGGAGCACAAGTGCCTACATGGGGAGCAGCAGACACCTACTTCATGTCGAACACGGACTTCATCCCCCAGAGTGCGGACAGGGGCTGGCTCCAAGTAGCAGACGTCAGCAGCAAGGACCCATCCTGAAAGGAGGAGACGGGCTAAGGTGGGGGACCAGCTGGGTGCTCGCACACGGGTCCATGCCGATTCCATCAGCGTGATTTCACACACACACAGAACACACGCTGTTGCAGCGAGGACAGGGAAAATGCCCAAGAACCTGGAAACGGACAAGAGCCCCCCTTGGGCTGTGAGCGCACTGTGCCTAGAACACAGGCACTCAAGGGCGAGGCAGCCCTCTGCAGTGGACAGTGGCTTAAACGACAGCCACTCTGTGGGTGGGGATCCCGAGGTCAGAGAGGGCTCCTCCACTCTTCACCTTCAGCACACACCTCAATCCACGGTGTGGCCACACCGGCGTGTCAGCTTTCCAAACAACACCAAGAAAGGATGAGCCTGCTTCACGCTACACCCGGGCAATGACCCTCGACACCCCCAGCTCTTACTAGAAATGACAGTGGTGGCAATGCCATCCAGAAGACAGTGCCATCAGCTACCGCCCACTGGAATCATGCACAAGAGAGCTTCAAGGAGTTTCTGGAAAACTCCCATTATCTTTTCATTCCATTTCTCTACAAACACTCAAAGCCCCATCCGCACCACCACCCCCTTCCTTCCCTAAACTTCACAGAACTTGGGAGATCTCTTTGTGATACCACAAACAAAAATGTGTGTGTGTGTGTGTGTGTGTGTGTGTGTGTGTGTATGTCCAGGTGCTGGCAAACTTACAGGACCAGACAGTCATCACTTTCACGGGCACCTGCGTCTCTGTCACAGCCACTCCCCTCGTTGCTTGCGTGTGGAAGCAGCCCTGGAAGTGTGCGCCTGCTCCCAAGTGTACGCGCACGGTGTGTCCCAGCAGGACTCTGTGAACAAAGCCCATCGCTTACCCTGGAAGGTTCCAGGTGTGTGATGGCCGAGTTGTGACAGTTGTAGCTGGCCTCCTCCTGCCCACTGAACACGTTGTAGAGCTTCAGCTGCCCCGTGCAGGTGCCGAGCATCAGGAAACGCTCCCGGGCCGAAAAGGCACAGCACGTGAAGCCGCTCTCGTCCTCATTGGCTTCCCGGAACACTGAGATGGGGCGGAACCTTAGCCACGGAAGAGAAGCAGAAAGCAAGGTTGTGCAGGGGCTCTGCTAGGATGATGTGGGGGGGACGGAGCTTTTGTGCTCAGTGAGCTCTAGCCACCTCTCAGGGCTCCTCAGGGGTCCCTTCTCGTTGTCAATGAAGGCGAAGGGCTGCCATGGGATTCCCATGCTAAAACCTAGGATGGATCCCACAGTCTGAGACACCATTTGTAAAGAATCCAAACAGGAGGCAACTGGGCCTGGGAGCCTCTGGCGCAGTTGCACGGGTTCTAGAACAGTGGTACAAGGGCGCAGGACCAGGCAGCACCCACACCAGGAGGCCCAGGCTGAGAAACGGGGACACACCGCTCATAGTCACGGGAGGAAACAAGCACGGAACTGCAGGCCAGCACAGCTTTGCAGATCCATCAGAAACTACCCGAGCGTGGATTTAAATATAAAAATCATTTCCACTCCCAGGGAGTTGTGGTGGCTTCTCCTTACCTGCTAAAGATAAGGTGCCTATCAAAGCACCCGCCATCCACCCCTCCATACTTTGGGAAGGCTGCCCTGCGGTTCAGCCGGGAGGTAAAGTTTATTGGCGCTTGCCGCCTCTGTTTGGGCTCAGGGCACTGGTGAGGGGTAAAGAGAGAGAAGGGCGGGCAGGTGGCAACTGGGTTTTTGCAGCGGGCGTGCTGCTCCCTAAGGTACTCTGTGATGATGCTGTCCAGCGTAGGTGGGGAAGGAAGGTGTCTGTCCAACTGCTTTTTTATGGCGGGGCTTTGGCTGTAGGCGCCGTGGTCCGACTTCTGCCGCAACACTCTGATTTTCCTGCCGTTGCAGGGCGACGGCCTCTCGCGGATAAAGCTGATCCTGCCGATCAGGGGGGAGCTGCCTGTATAAGACGGGCCTGGCAGAGCTAGGGCAGTCTGGGGGGGCCGTGGCTGAGGGTGGGCGGCAGGGGCAGCGGGGGCAACGGGAGCCACGGCAGCATGGCTGCTCAGTCGGGGCGCAATGCCGTTGGCAATACGGGGGGTTCGGGGAAGAGAAACAGGAGAAGCAGCAGCAGCAGCAACCGGGGTGAAGGCAGAGGAATGAGAGGCAGCCGTCATCGGCAGGTCCGCCTCTTTTGTCAGCACGGTGGCTGTCTCCCCAAGCCCTTTAGAAATGAGATGGTTTCGGATCAACAGGAGGAGCTCCTTCTCGGGGAAGGAGATCCTGGACTGAGCGACGACATCCGCCTTCTGCAGCCGTGCCAGGGACACGTCGGTGCCGATGAGCAGTGGCTTCCCGGACACCCGCTCGATGAGCTCGGCAGCGTACTTGCAGAACCTGACGTGCTCGCTGCGCTTGTCCTGAAGCACGGGCTCCTTCATCAGCTGCTGGATCTGGCAGCTGCTGAAAAGCGGCAGTTTGCTGATGATCTGCCGGACAGTGCTGCTGCGAGACAGGCCCACCAGTGCCTTGCAGGCCAGGGCCCGGATCTGGTCCGCGTCCGTGATGGGCATCTTGATGGACAGCAGGGACAGGAGCACCTTGATGCCATTGTTGGACTGCACCACGTTCCACATCTTGGCCAGCGTGTGCTCGCTGCTTTTGGGGGTCTGAGGCAGCTTTCGGCGAGGGGTTCCAGAGATAAATTTGCCAATGCTGGAAATTCGGTTGTCCGGGCCACACACACAATTGATGATAATCTGAAGTGCTGACTTCTGAATCTCGGCATCATGGATAAAGAACTCACCCTCAGCCACTCCCAAAATAATGCTGATACCTGGGGGAGGGGGGAGAAATGTGAATGATTCCTCATCAAATGAACGGCCTACTACTTTACACGGAAACTACCACCCTTTCAAAAAAGGTCTTTTAAAAAGAAATAAAGAAGAAAGTTCTTTTGCCATAAAATGGGATCAGTCCCACTCCACCGCACCTTTCTGGCACCCCGCGCCCTGTACAGCTGTTCAACGGGGTGTGGTGTCAGTACAAGGGGGGGAGGTGATCACCAAAGCGCCCGTGCAATGTTCCCAACCCCAGAACCTTCTCTGCTCTGTGTTAAAAGGCTCCTCCAGCCGCAGCCTTCACCGGCCAGGGCTCTGCTCTGTCAGCACATCGTTGCCTCTGCCCATCCTGAGCCTCCCACCAAAGACTGCTCAGGTTACAGGTGTGCATTAAGCTTCTGTATGCCACCCCATTTTCTCCATCCACATGTAGCTCGCGTGCACGGCTTCTTCTGTAAAACTAGACACGTCACCGTCTACCGGGCACACACAGGTAACCCTCCCACTCTGCTCCTCTCTGTTCCAACACAGCAAAGCCAGATCGGTAAGCAGGCGTGCCTATGGAAGTGGAAAGGATGCTGAGCCCAAGCCCAGCAGAAATGACACCCACCCACAGTGGAGACAGTGGAGCCTGCCTCATCCAGCACGTCCACGGGCTCTGCCAACTGCAGCTGGATCTTTGGGACCACCGTGAGGATGGCCAGCACATCCAAGGCAAAGCGCACAGTGTCGTTCCTGGGCAGAAAGAAGAGCTGGTCAGAGCAAAGCGGGGATGGCTGTGGAATGAACAACAGTTGTTCTGCTGTTGTTTCTACCAGAACCCTGCCTGTCCCTCCTGTGATACAAGAAAGAATCTCTAAGTCCCCATGACGCTGATTTTCCAACACACAGGACTGAACTTTCCACCAAATCAAATTAAGATTAAAGTTTTTAAGACGGTAGTGAGGTTTTGTAGAGATAAATGTTCTCAAACTTTTGGTCAGAATAGCAATTAGAATACCCATTTGAGGAAGTAATCTGGAAACAGAATCAAGATTCTTACAACATTCATAACCTCCCCCCAGGACTTTCACCCTGGGAATCAGTCCTACAAACAAGTGTTGATGAATTACGATGTCCAGCACCGCACCATTTAAAATAGCAGAAGGTTGGAGACCCACACAGCCAAGGGGGACAAACGTGTTCCAGGGTGGCTGTGCTCAGTAGGGCTGCCTAAGGGACAAGATTAAAGGTTCGACATACATTCACAAAATCAAAGCCTAAGACATGAAACCAAAAATCTGACAATACCGTGTCTGGGCAAGAAGGAACGAACAAGAAAGCCTCACGTGTTGCTAGTGGGAGAAGACACAGCACCCACATTTTAGAAGCAATTTGGCAATGGCCAATAAAAAGGAAATGTAGGAACCTCAGCACCCAGCACCCCAGTCAAATCCTCCCAAGAGACTCGAAAAGGAGGTCTCGGCTATCCTGTCTTTAATAGGAAGAGAAGAACAACACACCTCCTATAAACTGCCCCAGGAGATTTAAGCCGTTTAAATGAATTCCACACGCTTGTGTCTTCGCCTCCAAATCACCGGGTGAAAAGATTACGAAAGCTGCAATGTTCAGACACACAGGACAGCACAGTGCCACGGCAGTGCACACATGCAGATGTGTGTGGAGCGTGCGCGTGGGCACATGCGCCCTGCACTGAGTGAGGAGTGGGGCAGGGAAGGGACCCAGGAGGAGGCCAACACAGCAAGACGGCCAGCTTGGCTAAACTGGGGACAGCGCAGTTCCTGCGTGATTCCGTGCCCCTTTCTGTGTTTTGAAATCTCCCGTAACAAGAAGAACTGGATTAAGGAGCACGATCTCAATGAAGAACACTGACCTAACTTGGGGAAAGTGAGAAAATCAGCAGCCTAAGTTTCTTTTCTTTCAATGTCTGGAGCAGCGACAACATTTAACCTCATTTAAAAGCATAAGCTTCTTAAAAGTAAAGGAAATGTTCCAAACACCGCTGGTCAGAATGCATTTACACCTTTCTCCTAGTTATCTTCTGTGCTTCCCTCGTCTTTCAAAAGCAAAGTTCTCCAAGCAAATACGCTAACATACTTCTGTTCCATACTCTGACACAGCGGGTCTCGACGTGTGGCCGGAAGGTAGGTCCTGTGAGCTGACTACTGCTCACAGTGACTGTCCGTTCTCACTCTCGCCTCTCTCGAGTGTACAGTGTGATGAATGAGGACACAACAGACTGACCGCAAAAGCAGATATGAGATCGTAGGCCAGACATTTAAAAAAATTTCTAAAAATCATCTTGTCTCTTGTTTTGGAAACTTGCTACCTTTAAAGAAAAATTCCAACATGCAATGGGCTTACATTATTTTAAATCTTGTCTCAGTTTTACATTCTAATAGAAGTATCAATAGGGAAAACACAAAAACAAAAGCTCACTGGAGCTGTCAACAACTTTCCATGTGATAAAGTGTCCTGAGATTCACCCGAGGACAAGAAAAGGTGAGCATCTGCCCTGGACTGGCCGTCCCAGGACGACACCTACAGACAAGCGCCTCTTGTCTGGCAGGGCGTGGGTGGAGCGACGGGCAAGAGCTGGTGCTCATGCACTATCACTCGCTCCTCTTCAGCGCCCGGCTTCTTGAAAACGCACGTTTCTTGTTGGACCATCATCAAACAGAAGCCACTCAAGCCCTTGATCACACCGGCTGCCCTGCTTTCTGACTCAGCTCTAAGCACCATGAACAGCACACTGAATTCTCAACGCAAATATGTAGCTTTGGGTGAAGGTAAACATTACATCCGACTGTCAAATAACAAGGGAGACGTTTAGGATCTTATATACTAAAGGATGGACTCTCAACCCCACCCAGCTCTACAGTGGTAGCCTGTAAGTTACATAACCTCTCTGGAAGTACAGGTGCTGATCCCTGTCTATCGTTCAGTAGTTACAAGTACCAAGACCATTCAATAAGAACTGACAAGGCCACGTATGCTTAATGTGGTTTCTCAGCATCCAGCCCCAAACTTCAAGAAATACTTGTTAAGCCAAAATCAACCCCAGTAAACACAGGCTCCAGCTTCCTCTGCGGCCTCTCTCTGGCCCCACCTTGCGTAATAGGTCTTCCAATTGCAGGCAATCGATATCAGCTGCAACAAGAGTTGCACACAAGACAGTTTGAGGAAGACTTCCGCTGGTTCCCAGTAGAGCTGGGCTGGGCCATATTCTATCAGAAACTCCATCATTTCCACAATCTGCTCGTGAGTATAGGAACATGCCTGTAAGGAGAAATACATAGATTAAAGAAGTCAGATCAGCTGCCTGTTACCTTTTCCAGCCTTGTTCCCTGTCCAACGTTTTGTGATGAAAAGGTTAAGCAAAGCAGCTCTTCAGCTCCTCCACACCTGGCTCAACAGCTCACATGTGAGGTAATGAACATCTAATGCTTACCTGCTTATTTTAGTAATGGTTAGACTCACATGTTTGCCCCAAAGGAGAACAGTGTTCAAATTATTGGTGCATGCTGATTTCTTTTTATGGTTTTTAACCCATACCGATATACAAGGGGTTCAAAAAGTTGGTGGAACTTTTCCATGATCTTTTCATTCAATTTTTTCCTTTTTTGATGCTCCCATCACATAAATGATTTTGGTCTCAACTTACAGAGTAAGTTAAAAAATAAAAAAAAAGAATAGTGGAACTTCCCCCATCAAAGATGAACCGAGACCTGACAGGGAGAGCCAACCTTGTGGATGGGCTGCCGGCACCTCTCTGGTCCCCTCCGAGAGAGCAGCTGTCACCTGAGAGGGGCTGCCCGTCTCCGTGGCCCCTGTGCGCCGGTGTTCTGCAGAGCCGTGCCTACCACTGTGTCCAACTTTCAGGGATGGCTTATATTGCCAAATGCTTAGAAATCCTGCTAGGCTGATTTTATCGGTATGTCTTATTTTCAGGGAAACACGATAGGTACTAACATCAATTAGTACATAGTATATACAGCACACCTTTCTAAACATAAAAAACATTTATACTAAAGTATCTTTGACACAATACTATGTTAACAATATTTTGATTCACAAATAGTAGTAGCTGTCTTATTATACAGACCTCAAATTTTTAATAGGCTTTACAGGGGCAGTTCATAAACAGACGGTACAAGTCCTACAAAAAGTGGACATTCATAACCGAGGATCTTAAAAAAGTCTGTGGTGCAGGAATTGTGCCCCATCTGACCACACTGGGCGAAACATTAAGGGCATGTAACAGGACAGCAAGGGGTGCAGATCAATGAAGTCCCTGGGGAATACCAAAAATTGACTGCGGGGCCATGGCATGGCACCCCATCAGACCCAAAAACAATCCTAAAGGTCAACAAACAATTTATAGGCTTTGCTTTTTTTGTCATTGCTTTTTGTTGTTGTTTTGGATTTTGTTTTCTTTTGTCTTTTGGGGTTTTTTTGCTCTATCTTATTTCTGTGCTTATTATCGTCTCTGCGTGTCTATCTAGGTAAGAGAGGTGGGATAAACAATCCAGAGGAGAAAACAATGGGACCAAAGGTTCCGAGAGACGTGGGAGAGGGGGAGGAGGGGAAAAAGAAAGTGACACCTAGGGGTGTCAACAAATCCAAGGTCAAAGGAACAACAAATGTACAAATGTGCTGGATACAACAGATGGAAGCCGGGATGGTGATAACAGCTGTCCAAGGCCCTTGTAAAATGATTAAAAAGAAAAGTTTGAGAGTGGCCATCCAAGATATCTTTCTTTTTGTACACGTTGCCATCATCATTCTCAAAACATTTTCTACTTGAGCCCTTGGTATCAGCTCATTCTCCGCCCCATGAACACTTGATAATTTATTAATTACTATTTTTTTCATGTCTTACACCGACCACTGTCTCCCTTCACCCACTTTTCTGTTGTCCATCCCCCCTGAGAGGGGGTTATATGGCGATCCTTGTGATCGGTCCCTCCTTTCTCCCCTCACCTTCCCCTTACCCTCCTGGTATCTACTCTCATGATTGGTCCTGAGGGGTTTATCTTGTCCTAGATTCCCTGTGTTGAGAGCTCTTATCTGTACCAGTGTACATGCTCTGATCTAGCTGGAGTTTTAAGGTAGAATTGGAGTCATGATAGTGGGGGAGGAAGCATTAAAGAACTAGAGAAAGTTGTATGTCTCATCAGTGATATACTACACCGGTGGCTCTTCTCTTCTTTGTGACCCTTCTATAAGGGGATACCCAATTGTCTACAGATGGGCTTTGGGTCTCCACTCCCCCCTCCCCACCGCTCATTCACATCCATATGATTTTTTGTTCTGGGTCTTTCATGCCTGATACCTGATCCTGTCAACACCTCATGATCACACAGGCTGTTGTGCTTCTTCCATATGGGCTTTGTTTCTTCTCAGCTAAATGGCCGCTTGTTTGTCTTCAAGCCTTTCAGACCCCTGATGCTGTATCTTTTGATAGCCGGGCCCCATCAGCTTTCTTCACCAGTCGGGAAGGTGAGCATCAGTGCCAGGATGGTAGGACAAAGTGTTCTTGCGTTGAGAGAGCACTTACGTGGAGGCTCAATGTCCGTCTGCTGCCTTAATTCTTGACAAATAAATATACGTGCATAGGTCTATTTCCCTACTGTTATATGTACATGCCTGTAGTTAGACCTCTATAATGCCCTTTGCCTCTAGTTCTTTCCTCTGTTTCCTTTACTTTCCCACTTGTCCCACCTTCATGTCTGGCCTTCATTTGGGTTGTGTTTATTCCTCTGGGCTACACTGCCCTTGATCAAACCCCACCCGACATCCCATGACCTCCTCGCCTTTGATTTTAGATCACTTGTTCCCATGTCCCTGGGTTTGTTGGCTCCCCCTTCCTCCTCCCCGCCACCCCTCTGCCAAGGTATCTTTCTACTCCGTGCAGTCTCTCTCCGAGACCCCGGGGCGGCCCTACACCGTCGTGCAGGGTCTGAGTCAGAGCGACTCATGGCACTGAGTGTGGTTTTCAGCGTTTGCCCGCTGTCTCTGATCCGGTGACCGACAGAGAAAAGAGCAAACTCAAGAATCAGAAAGGGAACAGAACTGAGGCCTAACTGCCTTCTTTGCCACGAGAACAGAAGAAATGAACAATACTTCGCTACTGTTACTGAACAGCTTGATCAAGGACTCGGAAAATCAAGATGAATTCAAAGGGGGGATCCAGACTTCTGGACACAAAGTTTAAGATGGGAAGAGTCCCTGAATCTACTTCCCTGAGATTCCCTGAGACAATCTGTAAACTTTATTTTAAAACAGAAAGTACCCTCTGAAATCAGCTTTACACCTCACATTTTAGCTAAATTACTCTGAACTGTCTGTCTAGCAAACCGTGTTTACCTGAGAGTAATCTGTCCGAGATCACTGACAAGAGGAACTCTGCAGCGCGGATGACGTGGGTGGAGGCACGGAGCTGAAGTCCACTGTGATGAAGTCATTCAGAAGACACGCCATGTGAAGGGTGTGACCAGTATCACTCAATTACACGTGGAGACATTGTTGAATGTGTGTGTGTGTGTGTGTGTGTGTGTGTGTGTTTTGCTATGTGCATATTTTCACCAAAAATAAAATACCAAAAAGTAAAGAAAAATGGAGTTATAGATGTACTCTTTCAGAAAAAAAATTCCATACAAAAGAGAGCCGGTATTGACTACATTTCATAAAAGAAAGCTCTTACACATATTCTTCAACTAATCTTTTACCTCTAGGGCACCAGAGAAGAGAAACAGTGACTTATAAAATACCTGAAATTGGCCATTTTTCATTGTACTGTTCCAACAGCGTATGTGCTGACTATGCACTCGGGCCTGAGCTGCTACAGAGTGCTGACAGAACCCCCTCTATGAGCACGCCCACTCACCTTGTACGGAGGCTGAGGGTGGACAAGGATACCACCCTCTGTCCTCTGCAGCGACTGCTTCACTTGCTCCAGTTTAATGGCCAGGTGAGCCTCAAAGTACTTGCGCAAGGCCATGCAAGTGTGCTTCCCAGTCTGGCGGCTGGCAAATATTTCATCGTCACTCAGAAGGGCACCCTGGTCCTCCAAATTCAAAATCTCCAAGGTACTGATCTGTTTACAAAGCAGGGGGGAAGGGAGAGAGACAACGCAGGGGAGGGAGAGAAGCAGAAAGGGAAAAGTGAAGGGGGAAAAAGGGAGGTGAGATGGTGGTCAATTTTTATTCTAGCAAGACTAACAGACACCCGAGTCCGTCTGCCCCACACGCGGGCAGCAGACAAAAGAATGCAGGATATTACACTCACAGGGGAAACCTCCCAGCTCTCAATCCCCACCGCAGGGCACACAGCCGAAAGCTGCTGCTCTTAGAAACCCTCACAGCAATGCCCTTCAAGACTGCAATGGCCTGGGCAAGTCGAGCGCAGCAGAGACCACTAAGCACTGAAAGGAACTGAAGGGGGAAATCGCTCCTGGACAGAGACGGGTGGGGAAAACTCCCCCAGACAGAGCTGCCTCCCTTCAGGGCCTGTGCTGACGAAGGAGCAGGCAGGACCCCCCGCTTCTCCCAAGGAGAAGCCACAGGAGAACTCACCAAGTTCACCAGGCGACGAAGACCATCACAACGGTCAAAGAGCTCCAAGACGGCCCGGAAGGAGAAGCAGATGGAGAAGAACATGGTCGCGTGGCAGCACCCTGAGGCATGCGAACACTCCATTAGCCACAGGGTGTAGTTCACCACATCAGCCAGAACGTTGTGAGGGTGCATGCAAACCTGCAAGAAATGGAAAAGGGATTCTTGAAAATGCTGGAAAAAAATAATCTTTTCTCTGATCGCAAAAAAAAAAAATCTTTTAAAAAAGTCTTTTTTATAAAGAATCTTTTTATCTTTAAACAGATAAAAAAACTGACCAGCATGGTTTAGTGTCTTTGTAGGACAGAGTGCTCACTCTGTTCTAGTCATTCTAAGTCTATTCATATAGAGCCCACTCCAAACCTGGAGGCAACTAACGTGTAAATATTTACATTCAACCTGCACTTAACGGGTCCCAGTGTCTGCCAACGCTGACATGCTTACACACTCACGACTGCTGTCAAAGAACTCCCGTCTCAGGAGCAAAGACAGCGACTCCGAGGAGGAAGGGGACATGAAAAGCTTGCTCTTCTCACGCCGAGGGCCACACATTCAGACCCCGCACCCACTGATCTACGCACACGCTCTGCGCGCCCACTACTGGTCAGTGAGCTGTGAGCACTCTCTAAGCCTCCTATAACGTATGCGTGCAAAGGTTACCAGTCTCAAAAGACTACCTGTTCTTGCTTAACACTCAGTGGCTTAGGAAGGAAAGAAAAATAATTTTTTGAGTTAAACATTGCTTTCAATCTTACTGACAAATACTCCAAGTTAAATACAGGTGTGTTTCAAGAAGCACTTACCATCTTCACTCCACCAGCAAAGCGTTGGCACACCCACCACATTAGGAAAACAGCCCACACATGAAAAGGACAGAGCACCTCTAGGGACTCAAGAGTCTGAACTTGCCCAGAACAGAACAAAACAGGCACCCTGCTGCAGGCTCGAGAGCAGCTACACTGCCTTTACTACCTCCACCACAAACTGCTGGTCAACATCCATGAAGCGCTGACGCATGCTACAATAGATCGACTCGGAGATGTCAAACATGCCACTAAATGACATCTGACAGAATCCGCGGGACTGGGTCTCATGCAAGAACAAACAGTGCCCTGGGCCCCAGCTTATGCTGCATTTTCCCTGTGGAGTCAGGGAAACAACCGGACCATTACAAAGTAGTTTTACATTGCTAGAAGTCCTGATGAAGACCAGGTGTTCCTGCTCCTTGTTTTCTGATGGTAATTTACTCTGTCAACTACTCTCTTTCTTCTCTTCTTCAGAAGTGAGCCTGTGAACAAGCGCCTGTTTAAAGAGACCATGCCCCCTGGACTCACTCTCTCCATGGCGTCCTGGTTGTAGGACAGGTAATACAAGCACATGGACACGCCAGTTGCAGCCATCGAAGGACGAGGGATCTCCAGGAGTTTCTGTACTCCACCGTGAGCAACGAACTCAGTGGCAAACTTGTTGTGGAGGAGGAGAGATGCTAGATGCTAGAAAGAGAACACAATTACCACAGGACCCTGTGAAACCACCAGTTTCACAAAATATTAATTGTAACTAAGTAGACAAACAACCTCTAGTCCAAGAACAAAATCAGAATCAATGAATTAAAAAAAGGAAACCAAAAAACAGATTCCATAACACTCCTCTGCTCCTTCCCACCCGAAAGGCTTTTGCGGAGCTGAGAAAGAGTGAGACAGGTCAGTTGTAACATAATCCAGCAGCCTTTAGTGCCACATTTCAACCTTTTCCACAAACTTCAGTTCTACGTCCTGGCTTTGTCTCATCACTGACTCATGAAACTAAGTCCTCAGCATGCCTTTTTTAAAGTTAGCCTTATTTTCAATCGATCTTTAATTTACACCCCCCCCCAAAATAATGGTCAGCAAATCAACTAAATAAATTCTTCAAAGTCATCAGAATGTATTTTAGAATATATCTAAGTTTTCTCCTCTTTTGAGTTTTGATAGCATCCTGGTTCAACTCCCATTACCCTCCCCCCCAGGTGGACCCACCTAAGGCAAGGGGGCAGTGCAAGCCACAAAGGCCCAGGCGGAGAGGGCTCAGGAGAACTAGCGCTCCCTCTCCGGTTTCCCACACCAGCGTGTCTCCCCTCCCTGTTGGTGGCTCAGAACAAGACAACACAGATTGGCAACGACATGTATACTCTCAACACCCAGGCTCAGGCTGACCCTTATATACAATCCCAGTCAAATCCCACCCCTGATTTCTCACTGACCGCGGGCCTCCCACACGCCCCTCCACCATACCCAGGCAGCAGCCCTGGGTCCTCTCCAACACTGCATGCGGCTCTTTCCATTAGGTCACTATGAGAAGAAGGGGCAGCTTGACTGCTGCGATGACTGTTTGGGGAAGTGGAAAAGCAAGCCCTACCTTTGCTGAGAGCCTAACTTCTGATTCGGCGTAACACTCCTTATATCCCAGCTCACCTGACCCATGTGCAAAGATTCAGCCCGTTTTCGCTCCTTAGTCCAGCGGTTCTCAACCTGTGGGTCGTGACCCCTTGGGGGATTGATTGACCCTTTCACAGGTGTCCCTTGATTCCTAATAGTAGCAAAATTGCAGTTATGAAGTAGCAACAAAAATAATGTTATGGTTGGGGGTCACCACATGAGGAACTGTGTTAAAGGGCGGGGGCATGAGGCCGGTTATCTGTATGAAGTCTACTTTCTCCTGAACTTCACACTGTTTCTGCTAACTTCAATAACCTGGGCCGTCTTCTTCTACAGTCTCCTGGTGAGCAAAATGCCACACGTCTTAATCTAGTTTCACTTCCCTGTGAGAGAAACTTCCTCTATGGGCTTTTCCTTTCCATCCTTCCTTTACTCTCCCTGATGCCTTGGAGAACTTGGAGAAATGGCCCACCACCAAACCCTCCGACCCGAGTCGCTTCTGACTCACAGCAAACCTCACCCCACAGAACAGAGATGCCCCATGCGGTTGCTGAGGCTGTATATCAGTAAGAAAACGGTGGTCATGTGGCTCCCAGAGAGCTGCTGGTGGGTTCGAAGCACCAACCGCTGGGTCAGCAGCTGAGCACTGCAGCACCAGGCCTCCTGTGCACGGTGACACACAGCGTAACCCCACACAAAATCCTACAGAAAGAGCAACAGCCTTCCTTCCCCTGCAGCCTGTTCCGGACCATGTGCTGTAGGTGAGAGCAATGCTTTCGGGCCACCAGATATGACTTAGCCTCCACCTTCATCCTATAGCTCAATGCAGGTCCCTTCCGATGGGCACCTCTTCTTTCAATGTTTCTCCTTTAAATGTACCTCCTTGAGGCCTGAAGGTAAATATCCTCGTTTGTTTCACGTACATCTACATGGGGCTTCTGGAAGTTCACAGAAATCTGAGGTTAAAAGCTAATGAAAAGCTTGCCACGGGTTTGTTTGACACCCTCGTGTCTGCTGGGGCTGTGCGGCCCAGTGCCGTCCTCACAGGCCCTGCTGCTCAGTAAGGAACGCTGAACACTCAGCTCCCCATGGCACCCGCCACGCATCAAGTGCTCAAGAACCACCTGAGGCTCCCAGCCAGACACTCTCCACCTTCCCAGGAAGCCCTTCGAGATGGTGATGCTGTGAAAGTCTGACACAAAAGCCCAGAGAGAAATTCCTAGGGAGTCTTTTCTGCAAGGAGGGCAGCCCCCCTCCTCGGTGCCTGCATGCGTCCTACACAGCGGTACTATTTAGGAGACACCAGGAGCTTTCTTATCGCTCTGGCTTAAGCAAACCACAAGGGCAAACTGAGACTGCATTTCCTTGCCAAGCTGCCAAGCGTCTTTACTGCACTCCTGTATCCTAGCGCCTGACAATACCCGGCTCACAGAGAGCACTCGGTGAGTGTTCATCGCCAGGAAGTAGACCAAGCAGCCCCAGGCAGAGAGCGAGGAAAGAAAGGAGGCAAACACAAATTCACTGGAGAGTTTCTTAGGTTGCAAAGGAGCTAACCAAGGCAGGACCCGTAAGCTTAGCCCACATCTACCCATGAGGAGAGAGGGAGGAGAGAGAGAGAGAGAGAGATTAGGTGACTAGCACTGTGCCTTTCATACAGCTCACTCTACCCAACAGTTGTTGAAAAGAGTATCGTGCTTTGAGATGAGGTCATTACTACTTCTTTCTAAGAAAACAATGTTCTAACAACCCTGGAAACCCAAAAGAAATTAACAATCACAAGCTTGTGTTTCATAAAATAACCTCCTCCCACCATTCGCCAAAAAAAAAAAAACACATTAGGAGCTAATACATATATCATAGCGTCCCACAGTTCAATCACATCAAGCATTGTTGTACAATTGCTACCACAATCACTTTATTTTTGTGTTTGTGCTTGTTATATGTTGACTCAGTCTTTCGAACTTTCTGTGTGCTCCAAAAATCGGTGAACCAGAACTTTCAATTGCAATTTTCATGTGAAAACTAAACTGAGCCCAGAGGGTGAAAGCTGTGTGGCTCAGTGTCTCCAAAAAGCCTTATCCGCAGGCACATTATGGAATTCTTGCACTTATTACGTGATGACTTGCTGACTGCCTTCCCTCATGCGAGCACTGAGATTCAAAAAACACACCCAAAGCTACATGCAGAGACGAGCACCTTCACTGCAGTGTCCACCACAACGAAACCTGAAGCACCGTCAGTACCCACAAAACCCTGCCAGTCAGACTGGCTCATCTGCATACTGAACGAAGGTGCCCGGGAGCAAGGTTGACTGGACATGGACTACAAGAACAAACCAATCTGTCTCAAGAGGAAGTACTGACCCCAGAAGGCTCCTTAGAAGCCAGGCTGGAGAGACATGCTATCAGGAGACACCAGTCCCTGGAGAAGGACATCTCGCCCAGCAGAGGGTCAGCAAAAAAAAAAAAGGCAGGTCCTCACTAAGACAACTGGCACAGTGACCGCCACAACAGGCTCCCTGGTGAGGCCAGCACTGCGGCCATGCAGGGCCTCTTCTGTTGAACACAAGCAGCTGTGAGTCAGAGCCGGCTCGACAACATCTAACAGCACGTGTGCCTCCTTAATCTACCGGTGAGAGCAAAGTGAAAAGTATTTTAAACCACCTGCACCCTGACTAAAGATTAGAATGGAGCACAAAATCAAGTTTTATTTCTTCTATTTTGGAGGAATATGAATGTCATTTTCTTCGGGGTTTCATGCCATACATTCCTTTCCAGTGATCTTGATGACATCACGGCACCTCCGCGTGGCGCTTCTACAGTGACTACCCAGGGGGCAGCAGACCTCTGGGAGTCACAGGGGTTCACCCACTGCCCTTCCTCCACTCCATCACCCTCACGGGCGGGCTAGGCTGCCTGCCTACTCACACGCCAGGATTCTCTGCAGATTAGGAAATCACTGAACCCCCCAATTCCTGGCTTTATTGTGTTTGCCCCAGATCCTCTAAAATCACCCAAAAAGTCTATGATTAAGAGGGCTCTTTTAAGGTGCTGTTGATAGATTGTGGGACTATTTAAAAGGTAAAATGACAATTAAACACAGGGTATACCCCTAGTCCCTCCCCTTCCTATCATGTGTACACCCCAGCTCATCCTCTTCTTGTTACACCTATGTCCATTGTATATGCCCCTCCTATTACTCGAATTGCCTATTGTACTGCACACCCCCAAAGACATATAAGCCTTGGATAGCAATAAATTGCTCGCTCGCGCGTGCTCTCTCTCTCTCTCTCTCTCTCGCTCTCTCGCTCTCTCGCTCTCTCGCCCTCTCTTCTTCCATCTCCACGTGGACCACCAAGCGGGGCTGAGCTTACCGAGGATGGTGATTGAATGATAACAACAAAGGAACTGGGAGCTATTATCAAGTCTCTTGGGCAGAATCCCACAGGAACAAAATTACAAGATTAATGAAGTAGAGGCTTATGATAATGAATGGTACCACTGACTTCCTGGAATGTCTGACAATGATGGCAAGAAAGCTGAAGGGCACAGACGGTGAAGACGCTAGAGAAGCACTTGGCGGGTGGCAATGGCTAACAGTGCAGCAGGACTTTGTCACATAATGACACACCATGGAGAGGAGTCAACAGACGAAGAGTTTGATGAAGCAGATATTAATTGTGATGGTCAAGTAAATTATGAAGAGTTTGTACAGATGACAACAGTAAAGTGAGTATATTGTACAGAATGTTAAAAACAAAAATAAAACAGTTGACTGCAGCTCACAGGGACCCTGCGTGTGCTGAGGGGCAGCTGTTTCACAGACGGACCACTAGGACTTTCTTCTGAGGCACCGCTCGGTGGACTCCGATCTTCAAAGTCTCTCAGGCACCGACGGTCAAGATTACCTCTACTTTCTACCCCCACATGCAGTCCTCTTGGATTGACCTCCAAACTTCTATGGAGGCACTTGGTAATCTCCTCACTTCTAGCTCAGTACGAAAGGCTTGTTTGTTACTGTTCTGTTTCAAGAGGCAACAGAGATGCCCTGGGCAATAAAACCCAGATATGCTGTAGTGAAACACACACAATTCTCAATGGCCCTGCATTTTCAAGATACTCACCTTGAGGGCCTCGAAGGTAAGGAGGACATCGTTCGTCTGTTTCAGGTCAATATAGAACATCATCAACTCTCGGGACCCGAGTTGCATGAATATGGGAAGCAACTACAATGAAAGCAAACACATCTTGAATTTTGGCTCCACTCTCATATTCTCAGTTCCATTCTGAGAAGATTAAAGAGATGTGGCACCTCTTTCCCCTCCCTTATGAAGACCGACATGAACACAGTCTGATCAAACAGATTTTATCAGAAGAGACCTACGGAAGACTGCACTGGTTTGAGACAAACATTTCTCCACACTGGAGTAAGAACAGGTCAGCGAATAAAATGCTTCTGTACCGTACCCCAGAAATAAACACAACCATCCCCAAGTGTGACAAGTGCTCGTCATTAAACTCACCTCCTGATACTCTCCCAGCGGGGTCAAATACTGGAGAATGAGTCGCTGCTCGATGGCAGGGGTCATGGGGTAAAGAGTGTAATTGGTGCCAATCACCCAGGGAGACATTTCTGACCAGCTGCTATTCGACAACTCCACGAACATGCGCTCTGGGTCAGAGGCTGAGAAACCCAGCTTCTGCTTGGCCTTCCTAAAGTGCTCTCTGCCTCCCTGCTTCGCAGACTTGTTTTTCCTCGTCCCTCCTTCATCGGGTTTGATTGCTGAGTTCACTCTGCTGCTGGTCTTGTGGCCTGAATCAAGATGGAACGAGATCTCCATGTCTCCCGAGGCCTCCTCTTGTTCACCATCCACCCCATCCACAGCCATGTCTCCATAGTCCATATCCACGGCTTCTTCATCCAGAGGCAAAAGCGGTTCCGAGGAGAGCTTTCGTGGGCTGGGGCGCTTGTTTTCTTGCCGCAAGGCCACTTCCTGAAGCTGAAGCTCCCTCAGTCTTCGAAGCACTATCGCCACCTACCAAAAACACTGGAGTAAGAGGGGATGTCTTGTTCCGCATCGTTAAGTTAAATAATTCCCCCTTTTTTTATTTTAAAGTTACATAATTCTTTTTGTTTTTTAATTTTTTTTTTTTGCTCTGTAAAGTTTTTCCTTTATTGTGCTTTCTTTTAAATCATTTTATTGGGAGTTAAATAATTCTTAATAAAGAATTCTCGTTTCCATTTAAGAACTAATTACTCATGTATTTAGCCCAATGCCCAGAAGTATATGAATGTGATGAATATATTAGCTTGATTCCTGCAGCCTGATGAAATACGCAAGGCTAACACATCGTGCTCCCAGAGAGCGTGAAGCAGTAGTTCTGCACCCACAAACATCAAGTACGGCTGCCCGAGCTAGACCAGTGCGCCTCCAAAGGCAGACACCAGATAGTCATGACTTTTCCAAAAGAGGCTTTGAAAACCGACCAAGAGTTCTCACAATTGTGTTTGTTGGAAATTGTATTTTGGTACACATAATTTATTTTTTGCATTTTATCTATTTAGATTTTTCTTTTAAGTAATTACTTTTAAGCCATCCCCAAAAAGGTAGTATTCTGCTCTGTTTTAAGAATAGAGAGATTAAAAAAAAAAAAGAATAGAGAGATTAAGTCTGTTTACTTTGAACTTCATCCAAAACAGAATGGTAGGTCAACAGGAGAGAGGGCAATGGATGGATAGATAACTAAGTACGACAGGGCTTCAGAAAGTGCATGGGAATATTCACGCTCTTCATTGTACTTTTCGAAACCCACTCCTGTAACTACATGTTCATGATATATCTAGTTGATGTCCAGAGATATTCACTGTAAAATTCCCTCAACTTTGTTCTAGGTTTGAACATCTTCCTCATACAATGAATGACAATGTCATGGTGCTTGGTAAGATGAAGAATCAGAATATTTTAAATTTTAAAAAAAGGAAAACTTTTATGAGAAGTCATCTTGAAATGCTAGAAATTGTAGCCATGCCCTTGTACAAGGTAACAAATAGGATCTCCCTTGATTCATTCAGACTCAGCCGGGTTAACCAGAGAGCCCCTGTGAACACTCTCTCAGCAAATGCAGAACATGATTCTAACATGGTCCTTACCAGTTGTGAGTTCTCATCCCTGTAATTGGCAGCAATGTCTTGATTTTCCATGGCACCTCCTAACAGTCCCGTAGAATATGTCCTCAGGGGCTGATCAGCCTCTCGGGCCCATTTAAAAAGATTTTCAACAATTCCTTCCTGTAATGAAAGAAATGAATTGATTCAGAAAAGGCTCGATTTTCCATAACTAAAAACTAAGTTTTATAAAAAATTTCTGATAAAATATCTCACCATTGTTCATATCGAAAAATGTGAGAAAGCGAAATATCCAAGAGTATCTGTGAATGTGCAACAAAAATCCTATTGGAAGCTAAAGACTGGCCATTCCCAGAATAGAGGCCTATGTTAGCTGTTAAGCCCCCAAGGTTAAATGGCCGACTCTCAGCTCTCTGATTGCCATCAAGTTCACTGTGACCCACAGCCAGCCTCGAGGACAGGGCAGGACTGCCCTCTGTGGGTTTCCCAGACTGGAACTGCTTGGGGAAATAGAAGGCCTCCTCTTTCTCCCCTGGAGCGGCTGGTGGTATCCAACTGCTGACCTTGAAGTTAGAAGCCCAAAGCGTACAGGGAGCACTTAAAGTTCCATATCCCTTCTCAAGGTCACAATGCACATTCAACAATCATGTATTGAAGTCGTAGTTAACTTCATAATATATCTCATTTTTAATTAATCTTTATGAACTCCACAACATACCTTATTTTTAATTAATTGCATTATAAAATATTTATGTATAGATGGCTAAAAGAAATAAAAATCACTCAAATTAAAAAACAGACCTCTCATGAACTCCACCACCAATTCTCCCTCCTCCATCCCCAAAGACAGCTACATGTCTGAACTTTAACAATATTCCTAACCTTCTTTTTCCATTAAGTGTTATATAATTTTTACTATAAATTGTGATATTGTATACTTTGATATTGTGTACTTATTTATTGTAGCATATGGTTATCATACTTAAAATAGCACTCAACATAAAACGGGCTCTGCAAATATTAATTTGTTCAACCCCCGGCATAATACATGACGGGTTAGGAGACAAACAAAACCCAATCTGCTGGGACGAGTCACTCCCAGCTCATGGCGACCCCTGTGTGTCAGAGTAGAGCTTTGCTCCTTGAGGCACTCAGTGGCTATACACGCACACAGGTAGGTCACCAGATCTTTCTCCCAAGACGCTGCTGGGTGCATGTCAATCACCAATCTTTTGGTTAATAGCCAAGTGCAAACCAATGATGCCACCCAGGAATCTTACAGAACTTGGGTTGATGGTACGCTCTGCAGATGAGGAGACTGAGGCACAATGGGGTGAAGTAACGTATCTAAGAAACCTAGAGCAGTGGCAGAGCAGAGGTCTAACACTGGTCAGTCTACCTCCAGATGCCCGCACTTCACTCCACACCTGCTGCTGCTGCTATGCCGCCGGCTCATCCAGCAACGTGTCCACACCGCCACCTGGACCACATTCCCACATCTGTGCCAACAGCAGACCACTGTCAGACTTTTACTTTTAGTCTACAAGTACAAAAACTGTATGTCCTTTTAACTTCAATTTCTTTATTAATGAGGTCTGACCTTTTGTTCCTGTGCATGTTAACCACTCAGTTTCTGTGAAACACACATCTTTTGCCAAGACCTTAAGGTAGATGCAAGTTCTTAACTTTTGCATAATCATATCTAATAATTTTTAGATGGTATATTTCATGCCTTTGTAAATTCATGCTTGGGTTATAAGAACACTTTATTTTACATTTCTAAACCTTCTACTTTTTTTTTTTTAATTACCCCGAAAGAACATGTTTTGAACTGTAAAGAATCAGGGCAATCTCAAAGAAGAACACGTTAAAGCAAATGAACAATGCATCACCAACCTGATCCAGTCACGGATTCACAGCATACACATGGATTTACATGGACCTGACCTGGATTCACAGCATACACTGACCAACCTCCACAAGACAACAACATCTAGTACATAAACTACTAAAGAGAAAGAGCAGATGTTTGGAGAATGATGATGTCAACAAATGTGCAAATGTGCATGACACGATGGATGGATGGATGGATGGATTGTGATGAGCGTTGTACGAGCCCCCAATAAAATGATTAAAAAAAGACATGCCTAAGATAAGGAAGAGGCTACATAGCCAAAGTAATTTTAAATCAAAATGACACTTAAAGTTTAATACCTCTTCTCAAAGTTCAACTCAGCAATTTTTAAAACCATTAGAATAAATCAATTTAGGAATTGAAACCAGCTTTAAAATTAAAAATCAAATAGAGTAGAGCAGAATGCACCACACACAAAAAAGCTTAAGTCATGCTTCAAGAAACTTTATTTCTTAAATACTTTTGTTCATTTATCACTAATACAATGTATGGACTAGACTGCGATATAAAAAATATAACAGTGCTCAAATATACACATATATAAAATAGTGCTCTTAAAGAGTTTTAACCTTAGTTTTGTGAAACACAAGTAACCAAATTGTCTAAAACTAATTGTTAGACTCATTATTTTATAAGTCTTCACTTATTTTTTTAAAGGAAAAAAAACATTGATTCATAATTTCTTTAGAAATCAGTCAAGTACTCCCTCAATGCAAGAATACTTTCTATTAAACTGGCATTCTATGATGCTCACCTTCCCGACACCATCACTGAAGACAAATGGGTGCATAAGCAAATGTGGCATAGAAAGCTGATGGTGCCTGGCTATCAAAAGATATAGTGTCTGGGATCTTAAAGGCTTGAAGGTAAACAAGCGGCCATGTAGCTCAGAAGCAACAAAGCCCACATGGAAGAAGCACACCAACCTGCCTGATCACAAGGTGCCGAAGGAATCAGTTACCAGGCATCAAAGAACGAAAAATCCTATCATTGTGAATGAGGGGAGTGAGGAGTGGAGACCCAAAGCCCATCTGTAGGCAACTGGACATCCCCTTATGGAAGGGTCGAGAAGAAGAGACAAGCCAGTCAGGGTGCAGTGTAGCAACGATGAAACATACAACTTTCCTCTAGTTCCTAAATGCTTCCTCTCCCCACCCCCACCCCCCCCACTATCATGATCCTAATTTTACCTTACAAAATCTGGCTAGACCAGGGGATGTACACTGGTACAGATAGGAACTGGAAACACAGGGAATCCAGGGCGGATGATCCCTTCAGGACCAGTGGTCAGAGTGGCGATACCGGTAGGGTTGAGGAAGGGTGGGGTGGAAAGGGGGAACCGATTACAAGGATCTACATATAACCTCCACCCTGGGAGACGGACAACAGAAAAGTGGGTGAAGGGAGATGTCGGACAGTGAAAAATATGACAAAATGATAATTTATAAATTATTAAGGATTCATGAGGGAGGGGGAAGTGGGGAGGGAGGGGCAAAAATGAGCTGATGCCAGGAACTTAAGTAGAGAGCAAATGTTTTGAGAATGATGAGGGCAATGAATGTACAAATGTGCTTTACACAATTGATGTATGCATGGATTGTGAGAAGAGTTGTATGAGCCCCTAATAAAATGATCTAAAAAAATTAGGATTTTTTTCCCCTAAGTATCCATAGGATACTTTTGCAGGGTAAATAAAGTTCATCACAGAATCCAATGCTAAGGATCACAACACCACTGCCTTCCGAGCTCTAAAACATTAGATTGAAGGTAATGCTATTCCCAATCGGACAATTTCACTTTAGTGTAAGATATTACCTCCTTGAGTAAAGTACTATCTCCCACCCTAATTTACAAGTTAAGCTGTGTGCCAACTACTAACTTCAAAAGAAAGACTTAAAAACATTAAGATACATTAATAAAACTATTTTTTAATCATTTTATTAAGGGCTCATACAACTCTTATCACAATCCATACATATCAATTGTGTAAAGCATATTTGTACATTCATTGTCCTCATCATTCTCAAAACATTTGCTCTCCACTTAAACCCCTGGCATCAGGTCCTCATTAATAAAACTATTCTTACCGACAGCCTTGCTGTTCAGTGTATTCCTCAGGATACACTGAATTGGTGTCCTACTCAACAGAGAATACAGAAGGTAATAGGATATATCCTGACCTCCCACAGAAATTTATTTAATTCCAGATATAAAGAAATGAAACTATAAAGAATCAGATTATTTTCCTAAAATGACAACTAGGAAATTTTCATAAAGCACAGTATAATCATCTGTAACATTCTCTACACTACATAAACAACCTGCTAAAAATGTTTTTTTTTTAAAATCATCATGGTTTTCAGAAGAATCCATATGCCATATATACTCGCGTATAAGCCGAGTTTTCCAGCACATTTTTATGCCGTTTTTGTGGTAAAATTAGGTGCCTCGACTGATATTCAGGTCAGCTTATACTCGAGTATATATGGGAAAATATTTTTGGCAAGAATATAGATTATTTTAGCCTCCCACAGTAACAGCTAATTGAAGATCCCTTAACGCAAGAACACTGTGCGACTAACACGGCACTGTGATGTTCACCTTCTCAAACACAATCGCTGAAGACAAAGTGGGTGCATAAGCAAATGTGGTGAATAAAGCTGATGGTGCCCGGCTATCTAAAGATATCACATCTGGGGTCTGAAAGTCTTGAAGATAGACAAGCGGCCATCTAGCTCAGAAGCAACAAAGTCCATATGGAAGGAGCACACCAGCCTGTGTGATCATGAGGTGTCGATGCGATCAGGTATCAGGCATCAAAGACACCCCCCCCAAAAAAAACAAACAAAAAGCATATCAATGGGAATGAGGGGGAAGACAGAGTGGAGACCCAAAGTCCATCTATAGTCCATTGGACACCACCATCAGAATGGCCACAAGGAAGAGAAGAGCCAGACAGGGTCCAGTATAGCACCAATGAAACACATAACCTTCCTCTGGTTCTTTGTTGCTTCCTCCCCGCCCACTACCATGACCCCAATTCTATCTTACAAATCTGGCTAGACCAGTACATGTACACTGGTACAGATATGAGCTCGCAACACAGGGAATCCAGAACAGATAAACCCCTCAGGACCAATAAAGGAAGCAGCAATACTAGAAGGGTAAGGGTTGCGGGGTTGAGAGTAAAGGGGAACCGATCTCAATGATGGACGTATGGCCCCCATCCCAGGAGGATGGACAGCAGCAAAGCGGGTGAAATGAGACAGCAGTCGGTGTAAGACATGGGGGAAAAAAGTAATTTCTAAACTGTCAAGGGGGCATGGGAGAGGGAGGGGAGGGGAGATAGGAAAGGGAAAAAATGAGGAGCTGATGCCAGGTGCTCAAGTAGAAAGAAAATGGTTTGAAAAAAATGGTAACATATGTACAGATGTTTGACAAAATGGATATATGTATGGATTGTGATAAGAGCTGTAAGAGCCCCCAATAAAATGATTTTAAAAATAAATATATCTAAAAAAAATCTAGCTTGCATTTACTGCTACAAATTATAGCATCAATTATAATGTCATTCTGTAAATACTTTACATGACACAATTCTGTAAGTTAATATAAATTTGATCAAAAGTTAAATGAAAACCTTTTTCTAAATCTTTCATTTGGCTCATAAACTACACTAAGACTTCCAGAATTTTTCCAAAGCTTAAACTGTTATTATCTTTAAAAAGAGGTAGGTAGCATACTCCATTTACACATGAAAGCTGAGACAAAATATTTGTATTACTTCTAAAAACGAGCAATTTTGTTTTGGCAGCTGAAATATATACATATAGTCACTATTCAAATTACTGCTCACTATTTGAAATTATTGATTTACTTGTGTCCAACTCCCTCCACATACCTATGTGAACTCAAGCCCCCTCTTGCTGACAGGAATATTTCCAGCACATAACAAAAGAGGTCATCAAGTATGAATGGAGTGAGTGTTAAATACCATCCCGAACAGAATGAGTTTCCCAGAGCTTCAATGCTGAGAAAGACCACTCTCCATCAAGAGTAATGGACCAGATAAATCCATTCTCAAAACATGATTCTAAGATTTTAAAAGGTATGATAGCACCCAAGCAGTTCAGTACTCATTAAAATAGGGTTTGTTTGTTTGTTTGTTTTTAGCAATTTCTTACTGCTTATCTGCACTTCTTAATTTTCTGTAACATGCTACTATTATACTCAGAAAAAACTACAATTTGACAACAAAGAAAAGAAACAGCATCCCATTCGGTTAGAAAATACGACGGTGACGCCTCTCTTTGGTGAGTACCTTTTCTTGAAAGACGACAGCGGTCTCCAGCCCCGGCATGATGTCCAGCAGGAGTCTACAAGCCGCAGTGTTTAAAGGGGGCTCTCGGCTGGTCATCACGTAAGCATTCACCAACTATACAGGGAAAGAAGAGTACTTCTGATCTTACATCACACTTAAATCAAATTAATGAACACCAATAAACCCTTAATACATTCCCACTGCTTTCTTAAAAGGTTATAAGAAAATAATAATAAAATTTAAAAGGTATGAGAAAAGACTATATCATAATTACTAATTTTAAATCTCTATTCTGCTGCCAGGATGTTATCACATATAACCTCTTATACAACCTTAAAGCCAACCCGTCCCTCACCCCCTCCAAAACCCTAACTCAGCATCCACTGAGATTAAAGATCAAATAAGGGTACCACAAAGAAGTTACCCCCGCCCTCCTTTTTCTGAAGAATTCCACAGGACAAGATAAGCTCCTGGGTCCTGACAATGGTTAAGAATTTATAGATGTAAAATAGAACATTAACACCTTATAAATAAAACTAATTAATAAAACTTTCCTTTTGGCATTTAATATCTTATTATTATTATTCCTAATATCTTATTAGCTATCTATTGGATATTAATTTACTAATTTAACAAAACCTTATTAATAAATCAATAAGAATAATTTAATGACATTAATACAAATACTTTATTAATAAAACTTCCCTTTTGGCACTAATGTAATGTCTGCTGAACTTTTCTATAAGTAGTGCTGTGTTCATCACTTGGTATACAACACTGAACAAGACACGGCATGAATAATTCTAAAAAGGAGACAGTTGAGAAAACAAATATTATCATGAATGTATAAGGATGGAAGCCCTTAGGAGACCACACAATGCACTGACTAGGAATTAGAGAGAGCATTTGACAGGAAGATTCCAAACCAGAATACAAGACAAGCAGGAACTTGCAAAGGCGGGACTGGACAGAGGGCAGATCAAAGGACAGGAACTGACTGGAAAGAAGAGAGGGCAAATTAGGGCACTTATACCCCGAGGGCAATGAGAAACCACTCATGGGTTTTAAGCTAGAGGGTGCTATGACCAACGTTTACATCTAGAAAGCTTTCTTGGATGTACCGTGAAGACTGGACTGGAGGAAGACAAGACCAATGAAAACGCTACTGAGGTTGGGGAAACAGAGCTATGTGCACATATTAACAGGTTTAGTATTAAGGTAGCAGATGGACATTGGGCCTCTACTGAAGTACTCCACTCCCTCAATGCAAGAACACTTTGTTTTATTAAACTGGCATTCCATGATGCTCACCTTCCCCACACAATCGTTGACGACAAAGCGGATGCATAAGCAAATACGGTGAAGAAAGCTGATGGAGCCTGGCTATCAAAATACATAGTGTTGGATAGAAAGGGGGAATCGATCACAAGGATCTACATATAACCTCTTTTCTGGGGGATAAACAACAGAAGGGTGGGTGAAAGGAGACGCTGGGCAGTGTAAGATAAGATATAATAATAATTTATAAATTATTAAGGGTTTATGAGGGAGGGGGGGAGCAGGGAGGGAGGGGGAAGGGAAAAAGGAAAATGAGTAGCTAATTCCAGGAACCCAAGTGGAAATCGAATTTTGAGAATGATGAGGGCAACAAATGTATGTGTGCTTTACACAATTGATGTATGTATGGATTGTGATGAATTGTATGAGCCCCAATAAAGTGATTGAAAAAAAAAAAAAAAGACAGCATCTAGGGTCTTAAAGGCTTGACGGTAAACAAGTTGCATCTAGCTCAGAAGCAACAAAGCCCACATGGAAGAAGCACACCAACCCCTGTGATCACGAAGGGTCGAATGGATCAGGTATCAGGCATCAAAGAACAAAAAAGCATCATTGTATGCTCACCTTCCCAATAAGATCGCTGAAGACAAATGGGTGCATAAGCAAATGTGGTGAAGAAAGCTGATGGAGCCCGGCTATCAAAAGATAGAGTGTCTGGGGTCTTAAAGGCTTGAAGGTAAACAAGTGGCCATCTAGCTCAGAAGCAACAAAGCCCACATGGAAGAAGCACACCAGCCTGTGTGATCACGAGGTGTAGATAGGATCAGGTACCAGGCATCAAAGAACAAAAAATCAAATCATTGGGAGTGAGGGGGATTGCAGATTGGGGGCCCAAGACCCATCTGTAAGCAAATGGACATCCCCTTACAGAAGGGTCGCGGGGAGGAGACGAACCAGTCAGGTTGCAGGGTAGCATCGATAAAACATACAACTTTCTTCTAGTTCCTAAATGCTTCCTCCCTCCCCACCACTATCATGATCCCAATTCTACATTGCAAGTCTGGCTAGACCAGAGGATGTACACTGGTACAGACAGGAACTGGAAACACAGGACATGATCCCTTCAGGGACAGTGGTGAGAGTGGTCATACTGGGAGGGTGGAGGGAAGGTGGGGTAGAAAGTGGGAACGGATTACAAGGATCTACATATTACCTCCTCCCTGGAGGACGGATAACAGAAAAATGGGTGAAGGGAGACGTCAGACAGTGTAAGATAGGACAAAATAATAATTAATTTATAAATTATCAAGAGTTCATGAGGAAGGGGGAAGTGGGGAGGGAGGGGAAAAAATGAGGAGCTGATACCAAGGGCTCAAGCAGAAAGCAAATATTTTGAGAATGATAGTGGCAACAAATGTACAAATGTGCAGGACAAATGGATGGATGGATGGATGAATGGATGGTGATAAAATGATTAAAAAGAAGAAGGTGGAGCATCCGCTGACAATAATCTCTACCGATAAGAGGCAAACCTACTGCATTCATGAAGTCATCATTCTTGAAGAGTATTCTCAGCAAGTGGCCCAGCATACATTCTGGATCAGCTCGACCTACCAAAAGAGGGAGGAAGAAACAAAGAAGTGAGTGATGAGTCATCCCAGTCAAGCAACTTCAGACTTCTGAAAAGAGGGCTAGGTTGTTGTAAGTACTACTAAAATGCCAAAAAAATTAATAGGATCAAAGAATCTTTTTATCAATTAGTTTCAGAAGAAATATTCTTTAACTTTTAAATCAGACAAAAACTGTTCTTTCCTATCCCCCAGCATATTGCCTATGTATGCTGAATGAAAAGCACACTGAACCCCAAAACTAGTATCACCAGGTGTCTATGAAGCCTAAAAAAATCACAAAAGAGTCTAAGAAAAAGAAAACGTCTGACTCCCCCAGTCGGTCAGAGAACAGGAAGTATGCTTCCTTTGAGAGGTGGCCTGAAGAAGATGGGCCCCACTTCCAATCTCTCCTTCGACTCTAAGTATAGGAACGGCAGATCTTCTTCAAGCGTACAAGGAGATCCCAGGTAGAGCAAAAGTCCCAGTAAGCAATCCCAATCATGAGAGACCACAACCGCAACTCTTTTTTAACTCCAGGCTAAAAATCAGGTCCCCAGGATGTTACTCACTGTACAGCAAAACAACAGGTTAATGACAAGAAATACTGGTTTGTTTTCAAAAGAGATATTATCTACCTTTATTGAGTTTTCCTTTCAAAGCCTTAGACTGGCAGATTTAATCAAAGGACAGATTTTAAGATGAAGAAAAAACGTGAGCTGTTGATACAAAGTTTTAACCACTGTGTAATGTCAACGCTCAAGTCACAGGCTGCTATCAGTCCAGGACCTTACATTATCGTCCTCTTTTCATAAATGATTAGACGGAGACCTTATTTCACTAATAGAGAGTGTACCGATGGAAAACGGTGCTTCACGTCAGAAGGTGCAAAAAAGGCTTTAAGTTTCTCCTGAAAGAGGCACGTCCCGCTCGGCTCTCCACTCTGCCTCGATTCTCCTGCTTCCTCTCCTCCCAGGCAGTATCACGACACCAGGCATGCCTTTGCATCCTTGATGGATTCTGCATTTACTCGAGGTTTTATTTCACGTTCACTTGTGTACGTCTTCATGCTCTGATTGCCCTTACTGGAGATGTGGGCTAACTAGGTAAACAGCCCTCTGAAGTCACAAATGGGAATGTCTAGGGCGAAAGCCGCAGCTAACATCACATACACTATAGACACTCAACTTGAAATGTCTAGCTTACTTATATTTGAAAACGAACGTCAAAAAACCTGCAACAGGCAGGTTTTACAGTGTTATTTTTATAACTCCCATTTTATCAACACACAAAATTTCAGACCCCTCTCTCCTCAGAAGACAAATTTTAGCTACAGTTTCTTTTTTTTAAAAAACATTTTATTAGGGACTCATACAACTCTTACCACAATCCATACACCACACATCAATTGTGTAAGGCGCATTTGTACTTCATTCTCAAAACATTTTCTCTCCACTTAAACCCCAACTACAGAGTTTCTATGTAGGGTGGACCTACACGTAAATCCTGAGATGGGTCATCAGAGAGAGACCATCAATCCAACAGTCTCGAGGCTCACACCATGTCGAGCGCCATGCCCGAGGAGGCCAGGTTGCTGGACTTAAAACCAAGTGAACACGAGCCAGCGTGTGTTGGCTGTCGAGACACGAGTGCAAGCATCAAGGGGTCTGCTGATGACTCCGAGTTCCAGGTACACACTCGAAGACTAACAGCAAGGCCCTTAGAGCACACGCCCTACATTCCCCACCAGTAAAATAAGGGGACCGTATATACTCAAGTATAAGCCGACCCGAATTATCAGCCGAGGCGCCTAATTTTACCACAAAAACTGCATTAAAAATGTGCTAAAAACTCGGCTTATGCCATGAGTGTATTCAGAAACTAGGATGTTAAGGTACTGAAGGCACACAGGAAACAGCTGTCTGGTATAGGAGGTCAGAAGGGCAGGACGTTTTTCTTTCTTCAAGTCTTTGTCTTTTCAATTTCACTGAGACAACTAGGTTTTATTCTTCAACCAGTTGCTGTCAAGTGGGTTTCACCAAAACACTTTAGTTGAACTCGGGCCTGTCTTATTTGATCTGTAGAGAACTTCAAGTTTTCCATAGATTTATCTTTCCTCATTGCCATGTTGGATAGGTGAGCAAACATCTTACCATTTGCCATGAAAAGATACTATTTCACTTAAAAAAATATTCCTTTTAACAATTTACTTTAGAAAGGGGGGGAAAAAGATACAAATTAGTCTTACCAGGATGTCTATCATCGAATGGGTCTGGATCCCCTTTCCGATATTCCTCCGTTTCTTTTTCAATCAATTCAGACATCCTAACACACAGGGAAGAGAGGGTCAGTCCTGGGCAAGCATAGAAAAGATGTCCCCACACCTACAGCAGTCAACTCACAGGTGTGCCATTACAACAGTCAGGGGCATTTTCTTGGCAGAGAGAACTGGGTAACCATATCGTTTCCACTCAGTCCCACGCTCCCCGTTACTTTTCCAGTCTCAAACAGAACACCAGCAACCCTCACAAGCTCAAGCCACAAACGTGGCGGCTGTCATTAAAGCCTTCTTTTTCTCCTCGTACCCTGCAATATTTCTTCTTTTCTTTTGTCCCCCAGTTTTACTGGAACGTAATCGACATATTATACAATTCAATAGTTCAATCATATCAAGAACCACACCATCCCATGTGATCACGATGTGTCAACAGGATCAGGTATCAGGCATCAGAAGACCCAAAACAAACAATCATATCGATGGAACAAGGAGGGTCGGAGTAGAGACCCAAAGGCCATCTGTAGACAATTGGACATCCCCTCACAGAAGGGTCACAAGGAAGGGAAGAGTCAGTCAGGGTGCAGCACAGCACCAAAGGAACACCCAACCTTCCTCTAGTTCTTTATGCTTCCTCCCCCTCTATCGTGATCCCAGGTTCCCCCCACTATCGTGATCCCAGGTTCCCCCCTCTATCGTGATCCCAGGTCGACCTTACAAATCTGGCTAGACTGGAGCATGGACACTGGTACAGGTAAGAGCTGGAAACAGAGCACCCAGGATAGATAACCCCCTCAGGTACAGTAATGGAAGCAGTGATACCATGAGGGGAAGGGGAAGGTTGGCAGGAGGGGGTGGGGGTGGTGTAAACGAATCACAATGACCAACATATTAACACACACACCCCAAACCCCAGGGAAACTAACAACAGAAAAGTGGGTAAAGGCAGAAAATGGACGGTGTAAGATATGAAAATAATAGTTTATAATTTATTAAGAGTTCACAAGGGTGAATGGGTAAGGGAGGGAAAAATGAGGAGCTGATACCAAGGGCACAAACAGAAAGAAAATGATGATGGCAACATATATACAAATGTGTTTGATACAATTGACACGTGGATTGTTATAAGAGCTGTAAGAGCCCCCAATAAAATGATTTATTAAAAAGTACATATATATAGTCCATTGTGGAGAATGTTCCACGAGTACAGTAAATGCATATATAGTTTGCTATTATCGGATGGACTGTTCTGTGTACAGTTGAGGGCAAGTTGGCAGATCTTCACCATCTTCCTAGAGCTTGTATCACGTTGTTACATCCTTTATCAAAAGTAATGAATTAAAGTCTCCTAGTACTTAAAAAAAAAAAAAAAAAAGAATTGTACAATCATTCCACAATCATTTTCTCTTTTTTCCTCCCATGATTACGCTGCCTTTACAGTGAGCTGCGTAACAACATTCAGTTCTGTGTCCCTTCCTGCAATATTTTCTATCAGATCCGCCTATACAATACCAGCTAACTCGCCTCATGTTGGACTGGCCCGCCCTTCTTCAGAGCGCCACACTGGTGGCAAACTACCAGCCCAGAGGCTGTACAAGGGCCTAGACATCACAGACATAGTTCCCGCCATCACACTAAGGGTGAAAGTAACTAAAAAGTCTGACCAGCATGATGTTTAAATACCCAAATGGCCCTTAGAGGAGAAAAGACCCCCCCAACCCTGGGTTATTGGTAAGTCTCATGGGGGCCGCTGCATCCACAGAGACCTATGTGCAACAGATCCAAGCACATCCAGGTCCTGGTCACCCTTCACAATTGTTCCCGTGCCTCAGCCCTTTGGTGCAACCGCTGTGTCGATCCACCTCCTCCTCCTTCGCTGCCCCTCTACTTTACCAAGCACGCTGTCCTTCTCCAGGGGACCGGTCTCTTGTGACAACCTGTCCAAAGTATGTGAGATGAAGTCTCGTCATCCTTGTTTCTAAGGAGCACTCTGGCTCTACTTCTTCCAAGACAGATTTGTCCTTTGAGCAATCCACAGAACTTTCAATATTCTTCAGCACCACAATTCAAATGGATTGATTCATCTTCCAGTCTGCCTTATTCAATGTCCAACGTTCACAGGCATACGAGGCAATAGAAGACTGTGGCTTGGGTCAGGTGCACCTTAGCCCTCAAAGTAACCTCTCTGCTTTTCAATTCTCTAGAGCAGCGGTTCTCAACCTGTGGGTCCCGACCCCTTTGGGGGTTGAATGACCTTTTCACAGGGGTCACCCGACTCATCACAGGAGCAAAATTACAGTTATGAAGTAGCAACGATAATTTTATGGTTGGAGGGGGAAATCAACCCAACATGAACTGTATTAAAGGGTCGCGACGTTAGACGGGTTGAGAACCACAGCTCTAGCGAAGTCTGATGCAGCTGATCTGCCCAGTGCAGTGCATGAATCCAAGGAAGACAAAATCCGTGACGACGACGTCAACCCTTTCTCCATCTATCGCGTTGCCTATTCGTCCGGTTCTGAGGAGGCTGGCTTTCTTTACATGGAGTCATACTCCATGCTGAAGGCCGCAATCCTTGATCTTCCTCGGCACATGCGCTTCAAGCCCTACAGACCACTTCAGCAAGCAAGGTCTGCGTGCCGCAGGTTGTTACTAAGCCTTCTCCAGTCCTGGGGCCACATTCTACTCAGCATCCAGACTGAATAAAGACGGCGGAAGCAAACAAACCCTGACGCACACTGTTCCTGATGTTAAACCAGGCAGCATGTTAAACCAGGCCTGCACCTGCAAGTGCTTCCTGCTCCATGTACAAGTTCCACAGGAAGATAAATGAAATGTTCTGGAATTCCCATTCTTCTCAAGGCTGTATATAGTTTGTTATGATGTAAACAGTCAAATGCATTAGCAAAGTCAATAAAACAAAAGTAAACCTCGTTCTGGTATTCCCTGCTTTCAGCCAAGATTGATCTGACATCAGCAATAATATCCCTTGTTCCACATGCTCTTCTGAATCTGGCGTGAACCTCTGGCAGCTCCGTATTATCTTCAATAAAATGTTACTTGTATGTGATATTGACACTGTTCTACAATTTGGACATTTTGGGTTGGATCACCGTTCTTTGAAATGGATACAGATATGGATCTCTTCCAGTCAGTTGGCTAAGTAGCTGTCTTCCAAATTTCCTGGTGTCAATAGTGAGTGTGTCCGGTGGCTTCCAAGTGTGGCTTCCTAGGCTTCATCAACTTGTGGAAACATTTCAACTGGTAGTCCTCCAATTCCTGGAGCCTTGTTTTTTGGCTAATGCCTTCGGTGCAGCTTGGACATCTTCCTTTCAGTGCCTTTGATCCGTGGTCATATGCTACCGACAGACATGGCGGACTGCCGCCCAGTTCTTTTTGGTAGAGTGGCTCTGTATATCCTTTCCATCTTCTTTTGGTGCTTCTTGCATCATTCAAACTTTTGGCTTTTTGTTTTCTTCACGAGTGATGTTCTTGATGTCTTTCCACACAGTTCATCAGTTCTTCTGTCATTGGTGTTCAATGCAGTAAATCTGCTCTTGAGATGTTCTTGAAATCTGGGTGGGATATACTCAAGGTTATATTTTGGCTCTCATGGATTTGTTTTAATTTTCTTCAGTTTCAATCTGAAAATTGCTTATGTATGAACAATTGATGGTTTGTTCCAGGCACCCTCTGGCGTGGTTTTAACTGCTGATATTGAGTTCCTCCATTCTCTTCCCGCAGATGTAGTCAATTTAGTTTCTGTGTATTCCCCATCTGGAGAAGTGCATATGTATAGTCACAGTTTGTGCTGATGAAAAAGGTATTTGCTATTAACAAGTCATTGACCTTGCAAAATTCTACGATGCAATCTCCAGCTTCATTTCTATCACCCAAACCATATTTTCCAACTACTGTTCCTGTTTCCAACTTTTGCATTCCAACGGCCAGTAATTATCAGCACATGTTGATTGCATGTTTGAACAATTTCCAAGTGAAAATGTTGGTAGAATTCAACTTCTGCATCACTAGCTTTAGTGGTTGGTGCATAAATTTGAATAATAGTTGTATTGATTGGATTTCCTTGAAGGCGGATAGATATAATCCTATAATGCTATCATAGTATTGTACTTCAAGGTAGATCTTGAAACGTCCATCCTTTTTGACAATAAATGCAACACCATTCCTCTTGATTGTATCATTCCTGACATAGTAAACCATATGATTTTCTGATTCAAATGGCCAATACCAGTCCATTTTGGCTCACTAATGCATAAGATATCGATTTTTATGCACTCCCAGCTCATTTTTTTTCCAGTTCATTTTTTCTATCTTCCAATTTTCTTAGATTCTTCATATAAGTTCTGGATATTAGATTTCTGCAGCTCTTTATTCTTACCTGGTGAGTTAGTTAATTGTGCCAGCCTGGCCGATAATCACATGTGGGTCTGGTTGAAAGGCGGAGGGATAAATAGGTGGTGAAGCCTCGCCTTTCTAGTTCTCGGGTCTCTTGTTTTGTGATGGTTGCATCGGGATAAATGGGTGGTGAAGCCTCACCTTTCGAGTTCTCGGGTCTCTTGCTTTGTGATGGTCGCACCAGGATGCAGCTGCCTTAGCAGCTCCCTGCTTCAGCTTGCAAGATTGACATCCTACAAGACATCCCCAAGGAGAAGCCGCATGGACCTATCCCGATGCAGCGCTGGGTGCTGGAGCAGCCGTGTGGAGACCCTTGCCAGTGCTGAGATGCTTACACGTTCATGGACTCAGCTTTCCTCCTGCAGTCGGCATCATTGCCTCTGTTTTGTGAGGTGGAGGACTTTGTGGACTGGTGTTGGGTTAATGGGTTAATGGGTTAATGTTGGACTTGTGGGCTTGGGCAGCATTGGGTTGGGATGTTTTCGTGATGCACCTTTTCTTTACATAAAACTCTCTCTTATACGTGAGTCGCCGTGGATTTGTTTCTCCTAAGTACCTAGACTAATACACCTGGAGTGTGCTTCATCTGCACACGCGATCCCGAAGGCTTCGCCCCCTTCAAGTCACCAAGCCG